CGAGGAGAGTGGAAACGTGCTGTCAAAAATAGCGACCCCGTATAGATCCGGGAAAAGCTACAGAAGAAGAAGAAGTTCCGAAGTTAAGGTGTCAATTTTAATCGAAACAAAAAGTTTTGTTTTATAATATGGACGAAAATTGTAATATTTTTCGTGTTATATCGTGATGCATTTAATTGCTTGTTAAACAGTTTTCCATGTTGAAGATTGGGGTGTATATATTATATTCTGTAGCTGTATTTCTGTTGGATTTATAATTCTCGTAAATATTGTTCTACTAGTAGTCTTAAAGAATAGTATTTAGAAATGTTTATCTCCAACGAGGATATTAATGTTTTACGTTGTTAGAAAAATCTGCACCATTCGACCACGAGGAAATGTATTCGTTCACCTCACGATGTAGTAATTTGCTGTAAGGAAATGTATTCGTTCACCTCACGATGTAGTAATTTGCTGTAAGGAAATGTATTCGTTCACCTCACGATGTAGTAATTTGCTGTAAGGAAATGTATTCGTTCACCTCACGATGTAGTAATTTGCTGTAGTTGTATTTACTGTTTTGCAAACCTGGGGGAGTTTAGTGATAAAGTTGATAACAAGGGTAAAAAAATAACAAAGAAAAATTACGCTTGACATTTTTTACAACTTCAATCTTGTTTCTGGATTGTTTTTTTTTTTTGTTTTTACGCATCATAATAAATTATGTCGCATTGAAAACGTCAATATTTTACCTTATAATAACGCTAAAACCCAGATTTCGATACCCGTGGTGGGCACTAGTACAGATAGCCCATTGTGTAGCATTGCGCTGAACAATATACAGCTGTCAATGTCTCTGTTTTCAGGAGCGAAAATTCGCTTGATGAGATTGATTTTGAGGATGAATTTCGAGTTATTATGCTTACAAAACATATATATTTGGCTTTATAATCTTATGTATTTCCCAATGGGAGGCAATTATGCAAGGTAGCTTCGACATACTAAAACCCAGAAGGCCTAATGAAATAAACATGGTATATTGTAGGAAGTCATTTTGTAATTTATGTTATGTATCTCACAAGGAAGAACCTAGAGTAGTGTTATGGACATGTTATTATTCACACAAATTACATATGTATTTTTATTTTATAATGTTATGTGTTTATCTGGTGGGAGGCTATTATGTAAGATAGTTTCGTCATACTAAAACACGGAATGCTAAATAAAATCAACATTGTAAGATAGATTTGTCATACTAAAACACGGAATGCTAAATAAAATCAACATTGTAAGATAGTTTCGTCATACTAAAACACGAAATGCTAATAAAATCAACATTGTAAGATAGTTTCGTCATACTAAAACACGGAATGCTAATAAAATCAACATTGTAAGATAGTTTCGTCATACTAAAACACGGAATGCTAATAAAATCAACATTGTAAGATAGTTTCGTCATACTAAAACACGGAATGCTAATAAAATCAACATTGTATAGCTCAGGAGGTCGTTTTGTAATGTATTCTATGTATCTCTTAAGTAAGAATCTCAAGTAATTTTATGGACAAGTTATCGTGAACACAAAATACATACGTTTTTTACTCTAGAGGTTGTCCCGGTAGGAGGCTATTTAGCAGCCTATATAGCTCATTTAACAAAAACACGATACTCTATATAGGATGAACATGGTGTTGTATAGGAAGTCGTTTTGTAATTTATGCTAGGTATCACATAAGAAAGAATCTCAAATAGCGTTATAGAGAAGCTATAGTGCAGACAAAATATCTTACTTTATAATGTTATGTGTTTTCCCGGTGGGAGGCTATTGTGTAAGGTAGTTTCGACCTACTAAAACCAAGAACGCTAAATAAGATGAACATGGTGTTGTATAGGAAGTCGTTTTGTAATTTATGCTAGGTATCACATAAGAAAGATTCTCAAGTAGCGTTATAGAGAAGCTATAGTGCAGACAAAATATCTTACTTTATAATGTTATGTGTTTTCCCGGTGGGAGGCTATTGTGTAAGGTAGTTTCGACCTACTAAAACTCAGAACGCTAAATAAAATCAACATGGTGAGGTTTTGGAGGTCGTTTTTCTAATTTTGTTAGGTATCTCATAAGAAAGAAAGTCTAAAGTAGTGTTACTGGCAAGTTATTATGTACACAAAATATATATATATTTTTTACTTTATAATATTACTTGTTTCCCCCGTGGGAGGCTACTTTGCAAGGAAGCTTCGACATACAAAAACACGGAACTCTTAAATTAATCAACATGGGATAGTCTAGGAAGTCATATTGTAACTTCTCCTCAACTATACCATGTTGATTTTATTTAGTCTTATGTGTTTTAGTATGTCAGAGCTACATTGTATTAATAGCCTCTCACCGGTAAACAGATAACTTTATAAAGTAAAAGATATATATATATGTGTTTTGTGTGAGTAATAACTTGTCCATAACATTCCTCGTGATTCTTCGTTGTGAGATACATAACATTCGTTTTGTAACTTATGTCATGT